TCCATCGTCCATTCGTCGCCGATCGGGGCCCCAGAGCCCACCCCGCGCTGGAGTGTGCGGATGCGCTATCGAGGGCCTCTCGCCGATCTGAAGGCGAAGCATGGTCGATTCCAGGGCGATGCTCTCCCCCCGAGCCGGTCCCCAAAAGGAGGGCCCCGCCAGCGGGCAAGCCTTGAGAGCGGATCTGGCCAGCGGGCTCGAGGAGGAGCAGGAGGAGGAGGAGGAGGAGGAGGAGGAGGAGGAGGAGGAGGAGGAGGAGGAGGAGGATGAGGAGGAGGAGAAGGGCCCGGGATGGGTGGGTGCGCCCATCGTGGCGGGGCGGGGAGGCGAATGTGTGGGCCAGTCCCGTGGTTTGCCTGGCCGGGGTCGACGACAGGGCGGAGGGCCGTCCCCGCTGCGCCTTTCGCCGCGTCTCAGCCCTGCGACACCTCCTCCTGGCCCTGCGGCTCTCCCCGCCCCGGCAGCTCCTGGCCTTAAGTCGGGCACGTCCCTCTACACGAGGAACATTCAGGAATAGTAGAAAAATACTCCGGGGACTATTCTTTGACTATTTTGGACCTTTGTAGTGTTTCCCCCCCCCCCCCCCCATATTTTTCGTCCAAAATCCGCCTGTAGGGGGACATGCCCGACCTGACCCTGGCCCTCTTGTGCGCAGGGCACGGGGATCCCCTCGGGTGGGTCCTTTGTCCCCCTGTGTCTTAGTAGTGGGCCGGCCGCGCGCGTTCCCCGCTCTTCTTGCTCTCCAGACTTCTGCGCTCTGCGCGCGAGGTCCTCGGCTCCACACACACAGACTCACACGTTTTTGCAATACACATGACGCTACATTTGTTTGCATGATCTATATATATATATATATATATATATATATATATATAAATTTACATATACGCATATGATGCACCTATACGTGTATATATATATATATGTACGTATATACAAATCTAGATATGTATGTGCATGTGTGCGCCCTGGACCAACATGGCGCCTGAAGGCCAAGCCTGGCCCCAAAGGTCAAGAACTTGTATACCCCAAACGAAGAGCATTCCATCGCGGATGACCCGAACATGAAGAACATCAGGGTACCGTTCCAATGTGCTTGTTGTTTGGGGCTCTCGGGCAAGATGTGCCATTTCATCAATGCATCTGTACACACACTGTTCGATCCGTCGCGATATTAATCTACCTTCCCCGCTTCCCGCTCCCTCCTCTTTTTCCTTCTCCATTCGGAAGCGAGCCGTCCGCGATGTCCCCCGAGGTCAAAATCGGTGAAGTTCGTGCTGCGGCCGTCCATAGAGAACCTTGCGAAGGAGCCCTCCCTTCAGCGCCTCATCTTCCTCCTCCTTTCCCTTCGCTTCTCACTCCTTCCTCTTCTCCCTCACCCTGCTCTCTCTCTCTCTCTCTTTCTCTTTATCTTTCCCTCTCCTTCTTTATCTTCTGTTGTTAGTTCATATGTTTCCTTTTCTCAGTTCTTATATCTGTAGCTGGAAGTCGTTATCTTTCTTGTGTTCTCTCTTTCTTTCTCGTCCTCCTTCTCTGCCCCATCGCCGTCGCTGTTCATCTCCCCTGTTTTCCCGTCTTCCCCCTCCTCCTTCTCCCTTATATCCTCCATTTTCTGCTCCCCCTCCTCCCCACGCTCCTCCCCCTCCTCCCCCTCCTCCTCCTCCTCCTCCTCCTCCTCCTCCTCCTCCTCCTCCTCCTCCTCCTACCCCCTTCAGCTGCCGCCGCGATACGAGCGAAGCTGCCCAGCCTTGCCTGAATCTTGCACGACGGTGCCACTGGCGCGCTCCCGGCAGCCAGCCTGTGCCTTGGCAGTGGAATGAGCCGGGTACAGCCAGGACCCCAGGTAAGGGACCGGGTTAGTAGTAGGGCCCTGGAGCCCCTAAATTTGCCAGAATCACTAAACCAGGTCTGCCGTAGCTGGTGTTTTTCCGGGTGACGGCAGTTCCGGCGGGGGGGGCGTCCCCCAGGATTCATCACTAAACCAGGTCCCACTTAATCCAGTTGTGCCAACGCACGAAAGAGGGACAAAGGAACGACACACTTCACAACGGCTTACTTCGAAGAAGAAACAACCATATAAACACAATTTTTTGGCGCTCCGCGCGGATTTCTTGGATCCGCGCCTGGGCCCGCTCCGCGCGCCAGGGAGGGGGGTCCTGCGCGGATCCAAGAAATCCGCTCGGAGCGCCAAGTGCTTAAATGTATGTTTTTTTCTTCTTTTAGACACATTTCACCACGGCTTACTGTACATATGTCTCGCACTGCGCCGCTTTCAAAATACCGTAGCACCCCGCGGATGCGGATAAGAGTGAGGGGGCGGTGGCTACGTTGGCAGTCTGCGAGACTCGGGAGGAGCCGGCCGCAGGCGCCAAGTTTCACAAAACATGTACAACGAGCCCGCCGCAGGCGCCGATTGATGGTTTTCGCTAAACCAATGTGGGTAGGTCGCGGGTGGGTCGCGAGTGGGTCGCGGGTGGGTTTCGGATGGGTCGCGGGGTGGGTCGCGGGTGGGTCGCTAGGTATGTCGCGGGTGGGTCGCGGTTAGTGTGGCTTTTGCTAAAGGGACAGCCTGCACCCAAAAAAGGGTGCGAATAATATGCATCTATGTTAGACGCACAGAAGCAGAGTTTCCAGCGTTTTATTTTGGAAGGAGGAAGGCTGGAGCCTCCCCCTGGGTTTGAATCTCTGCCTATGGCTTCAGGATTTCAGAGTGCAAGCCCGACTGGCCTGGCTGACGTCCCGGGGCGAGTTCTGGACACAGCAAGATACGAGGGTGCACACCCGACTTGTCTGGGTGTTTTGCCGGGGCAGGGGGGGTTGGGCAATTGGAACCAGGGGAATTCATGGACAAAGAGTACGCTAATATTAGATTGGTCAATTATGGCAAACGCGACCACCCTGGAATCTCCGACAAGTCTTCCCGCGAATTTCCGCGACTTTTCAATCTCCAAACATCATCTGGCGAATCCCCCCAGCATTTTCGCGTCTAGAACTCTTCCAGCGGCTCTCCAACAATTTTTTGCGCCTCAGAATCTTCCGGTGGATCTCCAAAACATTTTTGAGCAGTAGAACTCTCCAACGAAATCTCAGCTGGAGATTCATTGGCTGACGCCTCACCGCCGACCCGTTGGGGCGGCAGTAAGAGTGGAAAATGGAGTTTGCGGATCGCGGGCGATTTCTGGGGAATCTTGGGGTTTCAGTTTCTTGGGATTTCGTCGGGGGCGGTTGGCGGATCGCGGCTCTGCTCTTGGGCTTCTCGGGGCTCTCCTGGCAGCACTGTTGAGGCCACGAAATTTCAGCTGGAGATTTTCCAGAGAAGCGTCGGAGATTTTTAATAGATGAGCTTATGTTGTTGAAATTTGCCGCAGCATTTCCAGAGTATTCGGAACCGCCCAGATTTTCCGGAGATTCCCCCGGAGATGTGTAAAGCCTTGGGATTTCCCAGAGATCCCCCCCCTGGAGTTTTCAGAGCCTGGAAATTTTCCAGATATTTGAGGAATGCCCAAATGTATTTTTGAGATTTCCGCTGCGATAAGAGGGCCCCGGTCGCGTTTGCCGTACTGACCGAACCTTACCGTAGTTTTAGCAGTTCCCCGATTGAGACATGAGCATCTGTTGATCCCGCAACATATTAGTTTGTTTCTTCCGTCGCGGCATATAAAAGGGTTCCACCTGTGGCGGAATAGAAATCATGGACTTGTGGAAGCTTACAAAAGGAAACTCAAACGGCTTCTCGTTTGGCAGACTACAAAAAGGTATCCTTCTGGCGGATTTCGAAATGATATCTTGTGCGCATGATGCAGGAATATTCACGTGGTGACGGCATCCACAAGAGTTCCTTTCGTGGTGGCACACGAAATCATTCCACTTGCGAATCATTCAAAAACTATTTTTCTGAAGCCGATTGCACAATTATTCCGTGTGTTGCGAATTGCAGGGGGATTCTTTTAGCAGTGGTTTCCTCCTCCGCCTACTCCCCCTCATGTTCCTCTTCTTCTTGCACCTACAAGTGCCGCGGGGCTTGATGGATCCGCTGCCACAATGAGCACCGCGGATGCGGCGGACTGGCGAACGGCCCCGGCTGTCCATCATGTTTGCTTGGCAAGGCGTGCGCTTTACAGAACGTGTGATAGTTAGTAGCATTTTTTATAAAGTGCACGGCCAACGTTTGAGATTTGGCGATGGCTAGCAGCCGCGTCGGGTCGGTGCCGACGGTGTGCAAATCCAACGACAGCCAGCAGCCATCTGTTGTAAATGCGGCACGCGGGTTTACAATTCCCAGCTCTCAGGGTTAAACTCAAACGGTCGTTGCATTCCAACTAAACAGACTATGCACATCGCATGATGTTAGCAATCACGTATTGACTTCCCATCCGCTTCTGACAGTTTTTCTACGTATGGAGCGCCCGTCATTGTGCCATCCAGTGCATGATGCGCTCGCAGTTGCCTTCTGCTCAAACCGATCGTCGGCTTTCTCGATCAATTTCTTCACTGCTCGCTGATGATGCTGCATTTCTGCTTCAGACTCCACGCGGCTAGACCCTTATTTTATATTTTTTTTCATCTGCCATTTCTGCCGCCAGCTAGCGCTGGCGCCAACGAGCAGTTGGCTTAGTTTGACTGGTTTGTAGCTTGAGCCAGATGCCCACTCATGTTCGGGTTGGCGGCATTGGGCAAAGAAGGACTAGAAGCTTTCCCTGCTCACCTGGCCACCATCATTACTAATCCGTTCATCCGTGTGGACACGTGGGCAAAACACGCCAAACGCGCGCTTGTGCCAGGAGACCAGGCATGCGTACGCCAAATGCGTCCGCGATTCAGAATGCCAAGCGCAAAGCCACTACGACGACGACGCCGCCGACGATGGATGAAGATAATAATGAAAGATGAAGGAGAGCCCCGGAACTCAAACATTTTCATGCCAAAGGGGTCAGCCCTCATATTTTGTAAGGCATCCCGCCTCCCTCCACCGTCCGGTCGGCGGCAGGGGACTGCGCGGCCAGGACGCACCCCTCTTTTCCCCCTTTTCCCCCTGCCCGCAACAGCTGGCAACAAGGAGAGGATGATCACGCTCAAGCCAAATCGTCCTGATGATGAAGCGGGTCCTCTTTGTGTCATTTATTTCCAGCTGACCACAAAGCTGGCGAGAGGGTCAATCTATAGAGACGCCCCAATTCACACACCTTCATGTCAAAGGGAGCATCCCTTCATACTTTGGGCAGCGTCTTGCCTCCTGCCATCGTTCGGCCGGCCTTTGGCGAAGTGCGGCGAAGGACGCCGCAAAAACGCATAAACGCTGACTTTGTAGATGCTTCATGCTGCTCCTCCTTCTGTTTCCTCCTCCTTCCTCCTCCCTCCTCCTCCTCCTCCTCCTTCTCCTCCTCCTCTTTCCCGCCCGTCTATTTCTTCTTCTACAAGCGCCGCAACACCTGCCCGCAAGCGCGTAGGCGTCGGAATTTCGAAAGGCCCCGACGGTCGGTTATTTTCTAGTGGAAGATGCCTTGCAGGACGCGTGATGGCGAGCAGCTATTTTGGTCTCGATGGTTATCAGCGGTCCTGAGGAGCGTAGGCGTATGTATCGGGGAAAGAGACAAGCGTGATGGCGAGCAGCCATCTTGGACGCGATGGTTACTGGCCATCTTGGGAAGAGTCAGTGTAACATCGCGCTGACCCAGATTCTTCCAGTCGGTGGTCGTGTGGAGCCAGAAGCACGGTCGGCGTGCTTCGGCCCAGTCCGTGCCCTTCTCAGATTCTGTGCACCCTGGATGTCAGTGCTCTGTCTGCTGTACGACGTTGCACGCCGTTTGCGGCCCACGGTCCCCTGCATCTGTTCGCGTGCCGGGGTTCCTCGACGAGGCTTGTGTCGGAAGAGCGGGGCGCTTCAACGAGCATCGCCTGTCCCCATAAGCTGGAACGACTATGCGCCCGAAGAGACCCTCCGACCATGAGTACCACAATTTTTAGATACATGTCTGAATAGCTTGGAAGGTGCACCGCCAACTGAGAAGTCGATCGGTCGTCGGCCGTAGACGCTCGCACAACAGGGTTGGTATTGTACACCCGGCCCCAATGTGGTATTTGTATGAAGGCCAGTGTTTCGCAGGGATGTCTCGCTCATACCGCAACGTGAATTGAACAGAGTCCTCAAGTGTGGCATTTCGTCAGCGGCTCGTCGCGGCGGCTAGCAGCCCTTTGTCCACGGCGCGCACCACATAACTAATGTCATTGATCGTATGAAGAACCATCTTTTCAATAGGCGATCGAACTTTTTTGAAGGTTTCCAATCTTTCTCATTGCACGAACGCGCGACATTCTCAATCCAATTGTTGTACAAGGCGTCGCCTTTAGCAGTTCGCCCGATGTCTTTGATCGCTTCCTTCTGTGGCGGCCAAGGGAGTGTCGGAAAACCATTGTGCCTCGTGGGGCCCTTGGGCCACCTTCCGCCGTCTGAGCTACTGGACCCAGGCCTGCACCGCGATGGCGGGAGAGGGGCTGGGCATTAACTGTGCAGGCTCAAGGGATCATCGTCTTTTTTTCTCTTCGTGACATCGCCGCTTGTTGCTTCTCCCCCCGCCCCCCTCCTTCTCCTCCTCCGTTTCCCCCCCTCTTTCTCCACCTCCTCCCTGGGTCTTCAAGAATGGGTCCAAGATGACCCAAGAACACCAACAAGGGACCAAGAGCGCTACAATTTCCCACGAGCTACATTTCAGGTACCCGACGTGGGTGTCCAAATGAAGCCCCAACATGGCCTTAAAAGGCCTCGCCAAATCCCCAAGATGGCCCAGGTAGGCTCCCCCAAAGGCCCCCAAAGTCACGGAACTTCAAAGACACCACGGGTGGTTTTTGATTCAGTCATATGGCCCTACTCGTGCATTTCCACAGGTGATCTAGGCTATGAACGACAATCACTGCGACATACAACATGTGCGATCGATGCACCTGGGGGGGTCCCAAACCTACTTCCAGGTTTTTTTTTTTTTTTTTTTTTTTCATTTTAAACTCCACCAGTGCGTTGGCGTGAGTGAATCGCCAAACTTGCACTGTCTGCGGAGTCCAATCTTATCCAGCCCACATGCCGTTCGCGCATCCTTCTCCAGAGGATGTGGCGGTGATGAGGAATCACACGGAAGTGAGGGATTTAGGGAGGGTGTGTAGAAATGGGAGGATGACAAAAAAGGGGGGTGGATGAGGAGCAGGAGGAGGTGGAGGAGAAGGAGGAGGAGTGTGAGTGGGAGGTAGGTAGGAATGCTGGCAGGCGAATCAATGTTGTGGATGATGATGTAGATGATAACGACGTCGATGATGTTGATAATGATGATGATGATGACGATGCTGATGATGTTGTTGATGCTAACAATGGTGGTGGTGATGATGATGATGATGACGATGCTGATGATGATGGTGGTAGTGATGATGATGCTGATGACGCTGATGCTGATGCCGCTGATGATGATTTGATGATGAGATTATGATTGTGATGACGGTGATCATGATGTTGATGATGATGATGCTGATGGTGATGGTGATGATGGTGATGATGGTGATGTTGGTGATGATGAGGAGGAGGGGGAGGAGAAGGAGGCGAGAGGAGGAGGAGGCGAGAGGAGGAAGGAGAAGCAGTAGGAGGGAGGAAGGCGGAGAAGGAGGGGGAGGGAGCGGGGGGGGGACGCCGGGGGGGATAGCAGGAGGATGCGGAGCTTTCTTCTGGAGGTCCTTGCTCCGCCCCCGGCAGGAGCAGCAGATGCTCCTCGACAGCATAGAGGAGATAGTCAAATTCGACGATGAGCGCTCCCCCCCCCTTGCAAGTCAGGAGGAGGATGGGCCAGTGGATGAAGAGCACCGGAGCGAGATGAGGGAGGGGGAGAGGACAGAGGATTGATGAGGGGGACGAGGATCCATGAGGAGGGGTAGGATTCGAAATATGTTTGTGTTTCTGTGTGTTGGGGGGAAGCAAGGGAAGGATGATGATCATGATGAGCGTGATGAGGACGATGAGGGTGACGACGACGACGATGACGATAACGATGATGATGATCACGATGATGATGCTGCTGATGCTGATGCTGATGCTGATTCTGATGATGATGACGATGGCGATGACGATGACGTTGACGACGACGACGACGATGAGGATGATGCTGATGATGCTGATTTTGATTATGATGATGATGCTGCTGATTCTGATGATGATGCTGATGATGGTGGTGGTGATGATGATGGCGAATATGATGCTGATGGCGGCGATGATACTATTGATGATGATGCTGATTCTGATGATGATAATGGCGACGACGACGACGACGATGACTACGATGGCGATGGCGAAGGATGACGATGATGCTGATGATGATGATGACGATTCCGATGATGTGATGATGACGATGACGACGACGATGACTAGGATGACGATGACGATGACGATGACGGTGATGATGCTGCTGATGATGATGGTGACGATGGTAACGGTCATGTTGGCGTCGGTAAAGACGATGCTGATGTCGACGACGTCGACGACGACGCCGACGACGACGACGGTGATGATGATGCTGATGCTGATGCTGATGCTGATGCTGGTGATGATCACGATGACGATGACGACGACGATGATGATGATGGTGACGACGACGACAACGATGAGGATGATAATGGCGACGACGACGATTATGATCATACTCATGATGATGACGACGATGATGATGATGATGCTGATGCTGATACTTATGATCATGACGATATCGATGACGATGATGATGATCATGTTGATACTGATGACGATGATGATCATGAAGCTGATGATGATGACGACGATGATGATGCTGATGATGATGCGGATTCTGATGATGATGAGGATGATGATGATGAGTCTGATGCCGCTGATGATGATGTGGATGATGATAATGAGGATGACTATGCTGCTGCTGATGATGATGATGATGGTGAGGATGATTATGCTGCTGCTGCGGATGCTGATCATGATGATGATGATGAGGATGGTGATGTTGATGTTGATGGCGATGGTGATGGTGATGATGCTGATGCTGCTGCTGATGCTGATGCTGCTGCTCATGATGATCAGTGTGATGATGATGATGATGATGATGATGATGCTGATGATGCTGATGGTGGTGATGATGATGATGATGATGATGATAACGATGACGATGATGAGGATGATGATGACGATGATGATGATGATGATGATGATGATGATGATGATGATGATGATGATGATGATGATGATGATGATGCTGATTATGATCATGATTGTGATACTAGAGAAAGGCCCAATCATTTTTTGTTTAGGGCTACAGGGCTATGGGACTATAGGGCTGCAGGGCTATAAGGCTATGGGGCTATAGGGCTATATGGCTATGGGGCTATAGGGCTATAGGGCTATAGGGCTATAGGGCTATAGGGCTATAGGGGGCTACAGGGTTATAGGGCTATATGGCTACCGGGCACCCGGGAACCTGGGCACCTGGGCACCCGGGCACCTGGGCATCGGGGCACCTGGGCACCCGGGCACCCGGGCACCCGGGCACCTTGGCACCCGGGCACCCTTGGTCACCCGGGCACCCGGGTTGGCCACCGAAATCGGAGATGCACCTCACCAAAGCACATGAATCCGCTTGGACCCCTACAGAGGCAAGCTCTGATTGGGGAGTGATTCTGATTATGCTTATGATTATGATTATGATATGCTGTCGCTGCTGCTGATGATGCTGATGATGATGAGGAGGAGGCTTTTTGTTACATCACCAGTGGTTTTGAGCCCATCCTTCCACCACGCCTGGAACCCTCCAGCCCGGGCAACAGTTCAGCGCTGCGCGAAGTTCGGTGACCCAGGGGAGCCTTTACTCTTCTTGGTCACCGCCTGCTGCCTGCCCTGCCTGCCGACGGCTTGGGCGGCCTGTGGCGGCGGCCGCGCGAGGACTTGGACCTCCATTTCTCGGCCGAGTCGCTGGCGGACTTCCAGGCGCCTGCCGCGGCTGCCAGCTGA